ATTGCGTAGGATTAGGCTTGTTCGCAGAACGCTCCACAAGCCCAACAACGTTAGTGGAAACATTTCGCAAACTCATCTCATTGCTCATTGTTTCAAGTGAAAAAGTCACTGCATAACAAAAGTTGATGAGTTTCGATAGTTTATCTTCCATCTTTACGTGCCTTCTTAACTATGTTTGTGCAAGTGAAATTGTTCAGTTCAAAATCTACACAGAAAGCGAACCAGATCAGGCAGCTTATCTCTTGCAGAGTTTTTCTCTTCAAACTCAACTGAATACTGCAAAATTTTATCACTTACTTCCATTTCACATAATCGATAAGCTATAATCATCGTTTTTTCAGAATCTCTTATTCAAATACTGATAACTCGGGACGTTCATTATGGGGATGATCTCGTGGCGATCTTTCTGCCGCAGCAGCAACCGTCGACAGCTTCCGAGGACTCAGAGAAAAGTAAGAATCGGTGCATTTGTGTACAATTTCGCTACAGTTCTTTGATTTGACCTGATTCCTTTGTGGACAACTGTATCAGTTTTCAATTTGAGAATTGTGAATATGAAGGAATACGTCTAGCATCATCAGTTATGTGGTGATGATGGAGAAGTCAGACCTCAGTTTCACGATCTTCCGGTCGGTCACGGTTACATTTTTCAGCCCTAAAGATGATACCATAAGCTCATGCCCTCTTTCATTGAAACAGGCATCCGAAAAAAGACTTCTTTCAAAGGTTCACTCATAGGAGAACTATTCTATTGATTCATAATTTAATGTGATAGTAACAAAAATTTAAGTCTCCCACTTTTTCTTTTTTTCCCTTGTCTTGAGCCTACTACTGGACCACTACTCTCATTCGATACTGCTTTTATCTCACGAGAATTTATCCCTGTCATAGCAATGGTTTTAAGTTAAAGAGCTCTTTACTGCAACTTGAGCGAGGTTTTTCTATGTAGGTGATCTCTCCCCCTTTCATCCACTCATCAATCTTTAGCTGTTTCCCGGTGTGAACCTCATTTTTACATTTCAAATTTCAGTGTTTTTTTTCGATTTTTTTCGATTGAATCTCGCTTGTGACTGCTCTTCAACCGCAGCAGGAACTGGTCGCCTTTGAAACTGTATTTCCCCAATCTTTCCGAGCTTCCGGTCCACTGCTCAACACTCGCTGTCGTAAAGCAGCGTAGGCCTTACCACTCATAGTGACCTCCTCTCTGAGTGACCTGGAGCAAACAACCCACAGGGGACGAAACGCATTCCCCCCTTTCTTTATCGGCAGTGTTCCATTCAAAGTTTTTACAGCGAAGCCCACTCGACCGCTTATAGTTAGGTCGCCTCTCACATGTCATAAGTTTATATGTCCTTTGACTTCCCTATAGTTTGGTTCTGTACATTAGCATTAGCTCACGATCTTTATCAACTTTGTACTCAACCGGAGGTGACACTTGTTGCCAATCACAGCTCTATTTTGTATTCTACCAACGTGGAGGATGGTCTTAAGTGATTCGCCTTGGTTACGGCAGCGAGCGATAGTAGCAAAAGAAACGAGTTAGACGTAGACTTCGACTTCTAATTCGTTCAGAATGCGTACAACCACATGAAGTCCTTCACATCAAAGTCATAATCACTGGGAAGCTTCAGTTCCCTCATAACGATACCATTCCGCATGATATCCAAGTCAGGTAAAGGTTGCCTTTCCTCAATAGAGCTCTGTGCCTCTGACCCCATTCCAAAGTGTCTTCTGTAAAAAGTTATGCAAATTATTACACAAAGTCATCGAACTCTATCTATTTCCCGTCCTCGGCCCTAAGACTGCAGTCGTAATCTGCTTCTTTGGACGAGATCGGTTGACTCTCAGTAGCCTTGGCGCATTGATCCCAGAATTCCGGAAAGGACCTTTCTTTGGAAACACACTTACACTGTCACTATTCTTATCCACTTTTCATCCATTCCACTGCCCCTAGGTTCATCAGTCTACTGATAAAGCAGATCCTAACGCTGGAGCTAAAAACTCTTGCAGAGTGTGGAGTTGATTTGCCTGCGGGATGACGTGCCTGAGGGTCTTCTGTCAGCATGACTGAGGTATACCTCGCCTCTCTAGTTCGATCGTTAATGCTATCAATAGCACGGGAAACTGTCCATTGGGTAAATTCGGGAATGCATTCTCCCATTCGTTGTTGAGCCTTTGTGATTTAACATGTCTATTCGATAAGGAAAAGAATCTTGTTTTTCACTGTATATATTTGTTACATTGGAGAGCGGAAAGGGAAGGGTCGTAAAACCAACGACGAGCTGATCCCGGGAAGGTTTTGGCGCATATTCGAGGGTTCAAATGCATTTTATGGTGTTTTAGGTTTCTGATACTCGATATTTATCACTTTCCGACAAAAGGATAACGTGGCAACTCTCATAGCACTTCCTTATTTAAAACTAATGTATCGCAGTTACTCGATTTGGCATTTTTTTTCACTTTTCTCATTATCAAGGCTTACGGGGAGGTCAGAAACTCAAGGAACATTTGAGAAAAGATCATGTTGCTGGTAGAAAACGGAAACTAAGTGAGAAGGGAACCAATAGTGAATCATCAAAGTTCGCTATAATAAAACATCATTCCCATTACACCGTGCCAATATAGTTTATAGCTTATATGAAGTTGAATGGGGGATATCTTAATGCGAGAATTTCTTCAGAAACCTTTGCAAAAGGACCATGAGGTTTCCAGATGCGTAGGATCTTCGAACTGCAAACATGGCGATCTGTTCTCTATTTACACGACTCCTGTCGATGTAGTGAAGGATGATCCAATTTGAAAGCTCGTGTTATACTGATCCCTTTTCAGGATACCCATGCCCTAAATGTCATGTAGCCAAATTCAACAACATTGACAATCTGAATGCCCACCAGAAGTTCTACTGCAAGGGAAATCCTCGAGGTGAGTTAAGAAGGAATAAGTAGGAGTCTAATAGAGCAATGAGCAAATCTCCATTTACCACGTACAACTAAAGTGACACGTTACTAAGCATATGGACAGCTAAAAACGCTTTGCGATTCCTCTACGGAATTCATTGGCGTTTTTCTTTTTCTCCTCTTTCATGGACTGCTTTAAGCTGGCGGGGAGAAATGAAGCTTACTTTTTGTGAGCCTTCTTTGTTCATTCTGCTGCTGGTTGAGCTCGCCTAAGTTAAGTGTTTGTTAACGCGTTGTGTTCATATCTATCGGCTTCATCTCATGCTTATCTGCCATCTTCGACTGCCACGCCGGCGCTGCTCATCTCCGTTGCCTTCCGCTGCTGTCTGGGGATTTCGGTATTGAAATGTGGAAACATCAATCGTTGACTTCATAACTGCATTTCGAAAAGCTCTCCCAGTGGGTGGTACAGCAATTGCTTTTGAAGCGCTTACGACAATTACCCTACAAAGAGCTTGACAAGTAGATTTTTGGCGTGCACAGAGCCCTAGTTCAGCCTTTAGTTATACCCTGCTAGGCAAAGCTGCTTGCTTAGCATCAAGGCGGTACCATTAAGGTGGAGAATTTGGCGAACCTCTGACCTCAACCCTCGGCACTAGGTCAACTCTGAGTGAACATCATTTCATAGAACAATCTAGGTAAAAAGTAATAGGGGAGTGAGACGTTGAGGCCTATTTGAATTCGAACCATTGGAAAATGCATTTTGCAGTGGTGGTGGCTGCTCCGCCAACTCTGGTGCCTAGTATTCGCCATGGAACAGCAGCTGTTGCTGCTCCTCAAAACGTGATTCTAGTGCCTATCGCCTACCACGAGCATCAGCATGAGATGGTTCAGGTAGCTGAAAACTTAATTTCGAAAGTTGTTCCTTACAATTAGATCACTCACCTAATTACTCGGCCGTTAGCGCATTCATTTTTCATCATTCTCTTGGAAGTCTGGATTTTTCCTGTTGTCAAGGTTTTGTATTTAGTTACTTGGCCCTCCACAGACCATTGTGCCAGTGGCAATTGGACGTCCCTCAGTAGCACAGAATGGTGTTCCTCAACTCGCTGTTCCCCTCACAGAGCCACTCCTTGTTCATCGCAGCCTTTGTGGTGTAGTGCGTACACCAGCAAAGCTTCAGTTTGCTATCGGAGATCTTGCGGTCACCATTCCCATCGTACCCATAGAAATGAGGTAAGGTGATTCCAGCTTCATATCCTCACTAACGGCTCTATGCTCATTAGGAAAACTGGTTTTCAGCGGTTTGTCAGCGGGGCTAAAACGGACAATGGAGCGACCAACGTCCATACCACTGGATCTTTCGAAACGACGAAGGGAGCATGACTCAGGCAGTTCTGGCTCAACAACACCTACCAACGTTGTTAGGGTGAGTCACATCATCTTTAATAGCGAAGTCCAGAACTGTTCTGTTAGGGAGTCTGGGAGGTATCTGTCGAAAGTTCCCCAACACTTTCGGTTTTTTCCCGGAACTCTAAGTGCGCGATAGAAGAGTTAGCAGAGCGTCTGTACAATGGAAAAGTCGTATCACTGCAAGGCAGATACTTCATTGGGTTGCTACAGCAAGAAACCTAAGCAAGCCAAGCCAATGGCCCCAGGGTACACGCTCTTAATCGAATTATGTTGAGGCCGTAACTACTTACTGAAATCTCAGTTATGACGTATATCCCATTTTTCCCAGTCGCCCCTCGTCTCGGCCAATTACAAACAACAAAACTCAGAGTTATTTTTGAGTTTATGAACCGTAACAATAACTGCTGCTATGTAGTAATATGTAACCTGCTTAGGGAATCCTGCATTATTTGAATCATGCTACGAAAAAATTTCAGCCCATCCAACCCCATTTTGGATCAGCAGGGTCATCAATTGAGCTAAAACACGCTAACGCGTGCGTATCATCGAAAACCTCTTCTACAAGAGCTATAAACTCCTGATACTGGCTTGGAAAGCTGACAACTACCTTCTGCCAAAGTTTGACCTCTCTTCCTTATATAGCTTCTAACTATTTTCTGACTGGGAACTTCAAATTTTAAATTTTGATGAGGAACTTTTGACCACAACCCGCTCTCATTAGCGCACAGTCCTCCTAATGAAAGCATTGCGTCACCCTTGATTCAATGTTCTCTGAATGCGTTTATCCCGAATTTTGAAAATGTATTGAACAAAGTTAATTTAAATTTTATGGCCTAACACACTCAAAGCAAAGCCAGACGTTTTTTCAGACCCCAGGTTTTGACTATTCGAGTTTAGAATTTGGGTAGCAAGTACCGCCCACAATAAAGTTGCTCCACCCATCTCGAGGAGGTCCAACCTGTTCCTATTAATTACCCATTCCTCCCCTTTGCCCTCTTCGCAAGCAATTCTGGAAACAAATAACTCGCAGTGCAACTTCCGCTGCTCTTTCTGCCTACCAATGGTGAAGCTGTGCTGAGTTCACACCTCATTACAAATCCAGCCCGACTTTTTAATATTGTTCTTGTAGTAATACGAATTTCGTGGCAGACAGACAGATAGACAGACAGGCAGACAGACAGACAGACAGACAGACAGACAGACAGACAATCAGTCAGTCAGTCAGACAGACGGACGGACAGACAGACAGACAATCAGTCAGTCAGTCAGACAGACAGACGCACAGACAGACAGGCTCGAGAGTCTCATATCTAGTAACAGCAAAAGTGAGCTGTACAATTACTTGATTTCATCGACAAAACAACACTTAAATTGTGGCCTTTCCTTGCCATTTTGCTGAATTCAGGCCTCCCACTCTGATGTTGAGAAACCGTTTGTGTGCGCTTGTGGCATTTCATTTTCGGCTGACGAAACGCTCAAGGCTCATCGCCAATACTACTGCAAATTAGTAGAACGCGATGACGACAACAACAAGGAACCTCCAAAAAAGGTAAGATCTAACTGCACGAACTTTTAGATTGTTCACTCATTATTTTCACATTTTCATGGATTGCATTTGGCTTTCCCACGAAAGTCCATTTCTCTAGTTATCTGTATACATCGGTGAGTCATACACTTACTAAGGTTACTCATCCTAGTATAACTAAGGGCTTACTCCACGTGCGCAACACCATTGCTAACACAGTACCTTGTGGAATTGCAGTTTCATCAGCTCAAGCTGCACTAAAGGGGCCATGATGGGACTTTTCTTCGTTGTGTGTAAGAGTCAGTCTGGGGCGTGAGGTAATCCACAAACACTAGCTCAACGTGACGAGGCGTTTTTTTTTGCAAAGACGTTACCCGTCGCTGATGACTCGAAGGGGCACATTTAGGAACCAGCTAAATAGGAAAGATGAGTGAAATTATTGTACTAATCGAATACTCTTAGTAAGAGTGTAGAATGATAAGGCTAGCTTTGTACACACAACCAAGTTGCCTTTTCGTAGGAAAGGGCTATGTTCCCATTGTATTCCATGTTTCGCTTAAAAGGTGCAGAGACCATAACTCCTCCGAATTTCATTTTCCTTGGGAACTTTCAGAGGTACGGTAGTAACCTTTTGAGGGTTCATTTCGGAAATCAAGCAAAAAGTATAACGACTGTCTACTGCAATTTCAAAGCTCTAGCGGTCACTCGGTTGAGTGTCCGGGCAAGTTGAAGCGCTTTGTCTGAATGCATGCTCACCTTCACGAATATCATAGCCGCTAAGATTTCCTCTGCAACCTCGTTCATGTATAGAGTATACTAAAGAACTCAATTTGTTTCAGAATCAATCGAATATTCCCACACCTCAATCTCATTTCGCACTTCTTATTTGTCTCTTTGTTTGATTTCCTTTTTTCCTCAGCTACTACTGTGAAAATTCGAATGGCACTCAAAATATCCGGATTCCCTGTTCCAACTGCATCTGAAGTGCTTTTAGACGAAAACCCGGTGTAACCATTGCGAGTTCGAACCCGGTTCGCTGTCCCAATTGTCCGTGCACGTTCGAACAGTGCACAATGATGTACAGGCGTACGTATGCCGCTTGTGCGGTTATCGCGGATTCAGCCTTCGGGGAATTCGATGTCACATGAGGTGAGTGTCTAATCTCATTGTTTTTTCATGTATTGCTTGCTCAGCGATATCGAAGTAAGAACTATCAGTGAATAGGTCAACATGTCCTTTCCTTTTTCCCCTAACTCTAATTCCGCTCCAATGCGGTGTCTGCTGTTCCTTTTAACTGTCTTCACTTGTATCTACGACATCTTCTTGGCGAGGTCTTCCCCAATCATGTCCTGTCTCCTATTTTTTTTGGCTCCTCGTGGTCCCTTACCTTGCCTCTGAAATTTCACTGCTTCCTTCATCGAATAATTCTGCGGTATACTTAGTTCATGTCAACACCATCATAGACGCTGCTCCCTCATATTCAGTTGTGTTTGCAGAGGCTGGTTTGCATGACCGCCCTGACGTCCTCATTCGTTTGCGTCGTGAGCCTCACCCATGTCCGGTACCTGTGCGTCCTAGACCACCGTTGACCACATAAGATACCCGTGGTCTCCCTCTATCTCATCCATGCAGCACTTGTGAGGCAACCTTTTTTTCAACACCAGCAGCTAAGTTACTCCTCAGGTTTGTGAAGTGCTGTAGTCTACGTGGCTTTTCATGGTTGTCTATGAACAACTTTGCGCATCACTCGGTGCGCTCTGCTCCTCGCTATTGGAGCGATGTCGCCTGCGGAAGAATGGTCTTCAGTGGTTCATCCTTCACTTCTTTCGTGATGACATCTATAAGAGGAAGGCGCTCGAAGCTGATACTCGCTATACCCCAACCGTGAGATCTATTGCTTTTGTTTAGCCGTGATAAGTGTGTATGACCTCTTGAGTCTATCGTACATTGCTTTGACTAAAGAGATCAGATGTTCCGCAATGTTCTATTCTCTGAGCCCTCCAGAAGTAATGTCTTCACCCAATCGACGAATGCCATGTAACGCTATTTACGCTTACTCGATACTTTCCCAACACTTGTCTAGCTCTAAAGATGCATCCGTTCTAGACCTTTCTGGCATTGAGCCGAAGTCGACCAAAGATTGAGGAGGTCGAAGCTTCTCAATCTTGAGTCGACCAACCGCTCCTATAGTTTAGTGGTATGCGCAGTCGAGTTGATTTCACGGTAGTTGAAACACTCCATCCCATCCCTTTTCTGCTTGAAAATGGAAATGATAGCATTGTTCCTAGACGCATTAGGGTACTTCGCTGGTATCAGTGATCGGAAAATGGATAAGCCACGGTATCTCGCTCGACAGGCGCCTTCCTGCCTTGATTGGTTATCGACGAACTTCATCCTCTATAAAAGTTGAGTGGGGTCATTTGTCGACTCTACTGGTAGCTGTTCTTAAAGTGGAATTCTCCGTGATTAGGAGCATGTCAAAGTACTTTTCCCCTTAAGCCTGACCTCAACAAGCTTCCTCAGGGTTTCAACGTTTCCTTTACAGCCCTCACACTTCCATTGTTTTGAGTAGCTCAATGCCGAACTTCGGGGAGCCGTGATTCGAACTTCTCTCCTTCTCGACAATCGAGCTCGAACAGGACGTTCATTTTCTCATTTTTGCCTCCGCTACAGCAGCGTTGGCAGGCCTCTTGTAACTCTTGTAGGCACTCAGTTCTTCGAGAGTTTGCGCCTTTAACAAGCTCTTGTGGATGGCTCTCTTCTGCTCGCAACTTGTTGGACCCCACCATTCCGCTTCCTAGTCTTCTCAAAATTTATTGGGTTGTAACATAAGTTCGTAGAGTTTTTTCACAAAGATTTATTTTAACAAAAAATAATAATTATAACAACAAATTAGTCAGTGATGTATCCTCATATTACTGTTTGCGACCTCCTCCAATCTATCGACCAATTTGTTGATGCCGTTTCGCCAAAAATCGGCCGGTCTGCTGTCGAAGACGTTGTTGAGCCAGTTTTTAACAAA